CGTGTCCTCGTCGCTTTTCAAGACGAGCTAGACACGCGCCATACGCAAAAACAATAAACATAACGTGCACATTAAGCAAGAAAGAAAAGGGATCGTGCAGCAAAGAGTTGCACGAGCAGTTCGGTGCACTCGACTTCCGGCGCGTTCACTTCAAGGCCGCAGAGTACCGCTGAAATACGTGGACTATGAAAGAGCGATAATAGAACGCGTTTAACATAGCGATGACCGCAGTCCGCCAGGTCCGCGGACATATTTATCGGCGTTTTCCCACGTGATGCGCAAGAATCCTTAGGTTTGCGAACGCGTTCCTGAGTTCCGCGTACATGTTCCCAAGATTCGCCTGCGTTTTCTGCATGAAAATTGCCAATTTCGAGCTCCATCAAAGGCAACATCACGAATTTTGTAGGAAATTTTCAGCGTAAATGTCCGTCGTTTGAATCCACCTTTATGTTCTAGGGCGACATCATTCAGTCGTATCCGCGTTACTCCAAGTACAGACAATGTCGATTCGCCGCGTGGACGCCATGTTTCGCCTGAGAGCTTCTCTATGCCGCCTGGACAGAGGATGCATGTGAATCAGTTTGCGGACCCCATAAGCGTGCGTTTGAGACGCCGATGGGGCAATGTTTGAACATGGAATCAGGCACTTCACACGGACTTGCTACCATCGGGTGGCATGGAGTCCCACATAAGGACATGGAGAAATCATATCGTCGAATGAGCGAGGTAGAACTGAAACCGAGGTCTTGACCACTTGTAGATGTATAAACAAAACGTTTCGGCAGAGTCATGTCGCTTCCTCACATTCCTGTCCTGGGCCCACCTTGTTGCTGAATCCCCGGGTGCACTCGCGACACTGCTAGCGCGAAGACATTGGCGCTTTCTCGGAGTTCACTTCTTAAGGGCCCGCAGTCTTACTGATTATGGCAGTTTAGGTGCTATTTGATCGATCGTTACACGTGAAATCCTAAATACCTTTTTGAATGAGTAGTTTGAATTGAATGGTAATATAATTACCCTTTTTCTGGTATAACTTATGTTGTGCTATGATGTCTCTGGAAAATTATAGCGTCGCGAAAAGGGAGGCCTGAACTTTCATGGCTATTCTAGTTCTCATTTTGTGAAGAACAAACTGAAAACCCCACGATTTGGATTATGTTGTTTTGTTAACTATAAAAGCAAAAGTTCACGAGTTTTTTTGCTTTTTTCTTTTGTTATTACTTACTTTGTGTACAGTTTCCCCACTATTTCTATAAAATCACAAATGCTTATCACTATTATGTTCTCGATGAGATCTACTAAAGTTTTCAAAATAACTGCAACTGTTCTTTTTTTTTGTTCTTCTTTACTTTCTCGAAAATGTTGAATGCAGATATAATGCTGTTTGTGAAATAATTTACTGCAGTCATACGAATGTTATATTTTAGATGATGGTAGTTCTCATTTTGTTTAACGGGTAATTGAAATACGGTATAATATTTGATAAGGTGTCAAACCTCGGAGATTTGCAAAAAAGCGGTCGTGTGCTTTTGTTAATATTAAAAGTAATGATATTGTACCAGCCTATCAAACTTTACTGTTTTCGACGCACCGGGCATATAAATATGAATGGCATCTAATAAAGCGGGCTGTAAGAGATATACATATTACGATGTATTAGACCACGACCTACTTTATACTTAAGACCACTCCATCTGAAAACACTCCAGCACGCATTTCCTTAGGGCCGAGTTTCAGCGGTACCTCGTGGCGAGCCTGGAGTCGGTCTTTTTTTTTTTCGCCTTTTCGCGGCTTCACCAGGTTGTGTTAAACTCTATGGCGTTGGCCGCGCGCGGGCGCAGCCAATACCATCTAGTGTTGGCTGTGCAAAATAAACAAAGAAAAAAAAAAGCAAACTGATTACCGAATTGGACTCCTTCAGTATTCTTTACATAGAGAAAAGACCGTTTACAGCCTGGACGCGCTTGAAACCACAAAGCGCTATCTGCTGGCACGCACCCCCGGATAACAGAAGAACCCGACGAGGTAGGAGCACCGAGTTTTTGGGCCCCCTAGTGAGAACGCCTTTCACTAGGCGGCGCGAAAACACCGCCCTCAAGCGTGTTTGACATGAGGCGGTTTTGGCCCTAGAGCGGCGCGATTTCTGCCCTCGCGGCGCTCTGACTAGCCGCAGCGGTTGAGCGGCACGAGTGCCGCGACGGCAGAAATCGCGCCGCTCTAGGGCCAAAACCGCTGCACGTGAAACACGCTTCAGCCGGGAGCAGGCTTTTCCATAGGGAGCGCTCACATGGAGTGGTCGTAAGTATAGAGTTGGTCGTGTATTAGACATCCTTCGTCATAGACTATATGCGAAATGCACAGCGCCATCTTGCTGGGCGCCGAGGGACATGCTCCACCTCACATGTTTGCTTCGGCGCTTGCAAAAGCCAAGGCGCAAAAGCGTAGTTCTCAAAAACCTTCCTCTCTCCCAAGCACTCAGGCAACAAAAGCCCTTTCGAAACCCAGGCCTCCGCCGCGCCCGTGCTTTTGCCCCACTCAAAGCCAAATTTCGAGCTCAAGTGTACGTCCACCATGCTGGTTGCGGCGAGAAACCAGCGGGTCGACAAGCACGTACATATGCAAAAAGTGCGCAAAACAATACGAATCTTGAGCTCTCCGGTGTGGTTGAGGATCGACGACGGTCAGCAGTTGGCCTCGATTGTTACCGAGAACGCTTGGAAATTGACAAAAAACGGAGGAATCTCGGCGTAACAAAGATTTCAGCGCACAGGGTGTTGCCAGACATTCGGACAATTTCGCAGATGGTTTATTGGCACAGATATTCCTCATTTAGATATATATTAAATTACTAAAAAAAAGAAACTACCAAAACTGATTCGGTTCGTTTTTTCGCCAAGACTGCCTATTCCTAATGCCTAAAACTGCTGAGTTTGAATGTTCAGAAAATCGCCAAGGGCAGCGGTCCCGCATCTATCATCATAATTGTCCTTTTTTTAAGTTTTTTAAGCCGATTATGCTTGCATTAGTGGCACTATATAGCTTGCATAGTTTATTGTAGAGCCACTTGGTGCTTCTGCAGAGCAGATGGAACTGCCGATCGTCATTATTCAAAGTTCGTCTTCCTCAGCAATAGTTTCGGTGTTAGGAATTTCGTGAAATATAGCTTTGCTCTGTCGCAAACTGTTTAAACATTTCTGGAGGACCGAAAAGCGTTTCTTGTGATTTCAGTTAAAGATTCAGAAAACCTTCAACGATGATTTTAAGCCACAAGATGGGCAAGTGTCGTTACACTGAAGCACATCTTATATAGTGGCACTAGTTTATAGATAAATGAATGTTTCAAGAAGTGTGTCTGATTAATATTCTGAATATATTAGTGTTAGTATCTATCAAGGTTAGTCATGACAGTCCCCTCTAAAATTAAAAAGAAAATAAGTTTGAATTTATTAAAACAATACAAGGATGTTAACCTGCATTGATCACAATCACGGTCATGAACTCATCGCAGGAGCAGCGAGAACGAGCTGATAGCACGAGCGAATGCGCATTATGCTTCGTTTCTTGGCAGATCGCCACAAGAAATGGCCGCCGAAATGAGAAAGGTAGAGCAGCAGACAACGGATGAGAGGAGAGCCACCTGACTAACGCCCCGCTGCGGCGAGACGCCGAAACACATTCCTTCAGAGCAAACAAATGTGTTTCGGGTCCTCACCGCTGCAAAAGCTGTGCGCTGATGTCCAGGTTCCCCCAGAGCCGTTTATTGAGAGACTTGGTCAATCATTCGTTTGGATAGGCGGGCATCTCGGGGCCAACCACAGGCCGCGAAACAGCCCCTAGCGGTGGTCGTGTGCTCTAAGTTTGTGACACGACTAATTTGAGCGGTTTTAGCGTCACTAGAGTGAAAAGGTTTAGCTTTCGGTGACTGAAAACTTTGTGCATGCGAGGTTTTAGTCACGCCAATATTCAAGTGTAGAATAAACGAACGTGCGTTCCAAACCAGGGCCGACTTCCTAGAAACAGCGTCTAAGCCGAAGCGGGGAAAGAAAGCGCTGCCAAAGCCAGCGCACGAGCCGAGCGGGACTCCGCGTCTCAAGACGCTCGCGCGCCCCACCACTGTTTTTTTTTTCTTCTTACAGCCAGCCTCAGCTTAGACGCTGTTCTAGCAAGCCGGCCCAGAGCGAACTGTCACCTATATTCCATCTGCACAAGCATCAGCAGTGTAGACAAAGGCATGGGCACGAGCGCGTGGCTTTGGAAAGTGCCTCCTATGCACGAGTTCTCGTACAAACAAAAGCGTTTTGCTGAGCTAGGCTCACGCGCCTGTTCCTTTGTCTTTACTGCAGACATTTGTGAGATGGAGTAGAGAGGCCGAGATTGAACGCTTCTATTTCACGCCGAAATGAAAAAGGTACAGCGGCAGACAAGGGGTGAGAGGAGAGCCACGTGACTAACGCCCCGCTGCGGCCAGACGCCGAAACACACTTCTCCAGAGCAAACAAATGTGTTTCGGGTCCTCACCGCTGGAAAAATTTGTGCGCTGACATCCAGGTTCCCCGATAGTAGGCTGTTTGATGTTCTCTCTGTGCTACCAGATCCTCACGCTCCATATCTGCGACTGGGCACTCTATGGTTCCGTCGTCGAACTGCCAGGCTCTGTGAGTAAAGAGAAGGCTATGTTTCAGCTTAAGTCGAGGCGCAGCCTATGCTACAAGCGCGAGCTCCGAGCTTCCAACGTACCTGCCAAGCACGCTCACTCGTGCAGTTCAAGCACTGTTCAGGGCCACATGCTTCCGCTTGTAGCATTGGCTGCGTCTGGACTTAACTTCAAACGATATATATCAGCTTAGGTTTACTATGATCGGCAAAAAAGCAACGTTTGGTTATCGCTTGCTTGTTCGAATGCCTGAAATCGGTCGCTCCATTCTCGCCTAATAAAAAACAAACAAACATAATTCTGGAACATCGCTCGAGAAACGATGCAAACCCTATCCTCTGTTCAGGTGTTGCTGACCGCTGCCCTTGCTGCGACTTCGCCAACCTCGCCCGGAAATCTTCTCCACGACCCGCTAACACGGGATGACTCACGGATCGCCGCGGAGCATGTGGCGACAGGCCCACCAATGCTTTCACCGACCACGCGGCTCGCGCGGCCCGACCCGGACGCGTACATCTTCGACGCCTGGCAACACTCAAGCTCGGGGACATCACGTGACCCCTGCCTCCGCGGACGACTACAAAAGCCCACCACGCGGGACGGCCAGTTGGGGCACGACATCGCTCGAGAAACGATGCAAACCCTATCCTTTGTTCAGGTTGGTCCCCTTTCTAATGCCGCCTGTTATCGTAGTAACGATTTGTGTTTGATGGCGATGTCGTGCCCCTACGACCTCCCTGACTGTCGTAAGCATGTGCTCGCGTTCCTTGTCAAGTGCATTCATGTTCGCTATTTGTCCCTTTTACTACTGCAAATGTCGGGTGACATTGAGACAAACCCAGGCCCCACTATGGAGGAGCAGTTAGGTAGTATTCTTGAAATTATCACCAGGATTGAAAAGAGCCAGAACGATGTGCTTGCCGAGCTTGGGCGGGTTAAGAGCGCTCAAAAGTCCACCGACGAAAATGTGAGTGCACTTTCCGATAGAGTTACAGCTCTCGAGGCCCAGTTTCCCGCAGCGAAGGCCTCTCCCATCCGCGACGTTCTTGACCATGAGGCCTCAGGCGGTATTGTGTCGGAACTTTACAAGGTTAATTCGCGATGCGACGACACAGAGAATAGACTGCGGAGGTCAAATCTGCTGTTTTTTGGCATTCCGGACTCGCAGACCGAAACATGGACCCAGTCGGAGGAGAAGGTAATCCGGCTTTGTGCACAAAACCTAGGCGTCGAGATAAGCCCCGAAAACCTTGAACGCTCCCACCGGCTGGGAAAGTTCTCGGCTAACAAAAACCGACCGATTATCGTGAGATTCTTGCGCTTCAAGGACAAGCAGAACGTTCTATTCTCTGGAGGTAAACTGAAGGAAACTCAGTACGCGGTGCGTGAGGACCTCTCGCTTTCAGTACGCATGGCTCGCACTAAACTCTTTAATTATGGCAAATCACTGAACTCCCTTTTCAAAATTCGCTTTGACAAACTGTACGTCAATGACAGGTGTTTCCAGTATGACTCTACGACCGACTCCGTCACAGAGATTCCTAGATAGCAGCGAGGACCTCTTTCTGATCGGTCACCGCCGCCCACTACTACGCTACGTATAAAGACTTCGAATCATACAGTCACATTCACTAATATCCGTAGCCTCCTTCCCAAACGTGAGGAGCTCAGTGGTTTTATTCAAGATAATAATTCTGACATTGTCATTGTTACAGAAACGTGGTTAAAGCCTGAGATAAGTGACAGCGAAATCTCACCCCCTAACTTAATGTTTAATATTTACCGATGTGATCGGTCCGCACAGAGAGGAGGTGGTGTGCTAATAGCGGTAAAAAAATGCATTTCTTCCTTTCATATTACTACCAGCTTCAATATCGAGGCTACTTTTGTTTGTGTTACATCGTCCTGCACAAAAACTATTATCGGTGTCTGCTACCGACCTCCGAATTATACCGGCATGTTTTGCCACGAGCTTCATTCTCTGCTGCTTGAAATCAATGAGCGGTACCCAAGATCACATGTCTTAGTCTATGGCGACTTTAACTTCCCTAACATAGATTGGTTTAGTCTAACAACTAGTGGGTCCAGTGAAGCCAGGGATTTTCTCGATCTATGCTTAAACCATAATTTCACCCAAGTCGTCGACAAACCTACACGTGAAGACAACATCCTTGATCTTATTCTAACGACGTCCCCAGACCTGGTGACATCCATTAGCCAAAGCAAAGGTTTTAGCGACCACAATCTGCTGACCGTGGAGTTATCTTTACCCATCCATTATAGAAACCCATCCTCAAAAATGATCAAGGACTACTCCAAAGCCAATTTCGACGCAATGAACAGCAATCTTTCTGCATATCTTCCTTTGTATACCGCCAGTTTTTACTCTAGGACCATAGAACAGAACTGGTTACTTTTTAAGAATAAGTTAAATAATCTCGTTGACCTGTTTGTACCCTCCGTACATATTCGGAGCGATGATTGCAACCCATGGTATAACAAAGCATTAAGGTCCCTCAACAATAAAAAAAAGCGATTGTTTAGAAGAGCAAGGCATCTAGACTGCGACGCTGCCTGGGATGCATACTTTTTGTGCCTTAAAACCTACACTCGGAACCTTCGTCTGGCTAAACACAAGTTCTTTTTTGAGGATCTTTTTGGTATCCTGCGTAACAACCCTAAAAAATTCTGGAAGATAATATCCCCCAACTCTCGCTCCTCCTCTATCCAGCTAACCGACGAGGACGGGTCCCCGATATCTGAAGCGGACTGTGCCACAGTATTAAACGACTATTTTTCGTCTGTGTTTACATTAGAAGACGCCGACGTCCCTACATTGGCAGCACTACCGTACGAGTCAATGGAACCTATTGAGATCTCATGCGCTGGAATAGCGAAACTCCTTGACAACTTGAAATTGACATCCTCTGGAGGACCTGACGACATCACCCCCAAAATTCTTCATTACACCAAAGCAATATCCAGTGAATTTCTCTACTTAATATTCTCGCAGTCCTTATCGCAGGGATGCCTACCATCCGACTGGAAACTGGGTAAGGTCGTTCCGGTCTTTGAAAATGGGGATCGTTCTTCCGCTTGGAATTACCGCCCTATATCTCTAACCTGCGTAGCCTCAAAACTCCTAGAGCATATTATCTACTCAAACGTTGTATCTCATCTTGAGAGTAATAACTTCTTTTACAACAAGCAACACGGTTTTCGTAAGGGACTGTCCTGTGAGACGCAACTCGTAGAATTCACCCACGAGTTACACACTAATTTTGAATCCAACTACCAAACTGATGCCCTATTTTTAGACTTTTCAAAGGCTTTCGACCGCGTTGCTCACTGTCGCCTGCTTGCCAAACTTTCATGCCTCGGAATTGACCCTCTCATTCTCTCCTGGATCCAGGATTTCCTCTCCTCTCGCACTCAATTCACCACAATTAATAGTTCCTCATCCGCCCGCGCTGAGGTTACTTCGGGAGTTCCCCAGGGCTCGGTTCTTGGTCCCCTACTTTTTCTGATCTTTATTAATGACATTCCAGGCAAAATTTCCTCTAACATCCGCCTTTTCGCAGACGACTGCGTCCTATACCGAAGAATAGCTTCTTTTGAAGACCATCTTTTACTTCAAAGAGACCTGGACGAAGTCCAGGCATGGTGCACCAGGTGGTTAATGACGCTAAACAAATCTAAATGCAAGTTAATCCAGTTTTCACGAAAACGGCAAGCATCTCAGTTCTCGTACAAGTTAGAAAATAACTTAGTCGAAGCCGTCCCGTCCTATAAATACCTCGGTGTGACTCTAACTAACGATCTTACCTGGAACGCTCACATCGAACTTATATGCGCCGAGGCGTCTCGCTGCCTCGGTTACATAAGACGGAACCTGAAATCGGCTCCCCCATTCGTGCGAAAATTGGCTTATGAGACATACATTCGACCCAAATTAGAATATGCTGCGGCCATTTGGAGCCCTCACCAAATATACTCATTAAATCATCTCGAGGCAGTCCAGAACCGCGCTGCCAGGTTTATTTTGAAGAAATACGATTGGTCGGTTAGTGTATCCGCGCTGAAGTGCGAACTGAACCTTCCTTTACTAAACGTCCGCCGTAAGACAGCGCGACTCTGTCTCTTTCACAAAATTTATTACTACCTCCCTGCGCTCCGGGACCCGCTCCTCCTACCCCCGAGGCGATCTTCATCGCGGCTAAATCACCCGTGTCACGTTTCCCGCATCTCAGGCAGCACAACCTATTTTAACTCCTCCTTCTTCCCTCGTACTATTGTAGACTGGAACGACCTCCCCTCACTTATTGTGACCCAGACGGATCCCACCGCATTTCGCAACGCTCTTTGTGCTCATTTCTGTTAGTCCCACTGTGCCTTTTTTATTTGTTTGTTTGTTTGTTTTGTGCTTTACTGGCTGTATCAATGTTTTCATCCCCTTACATCCCCATGTACCCAGACTAATTTGTGTATTGCCGTTGCTCGTGGCGATGCCACGTTGTTTTGCAGCACCCCATGTATTCGCATATGTCGTTGTTACTATTATATACTCTCGTGTTATGTACCCCCCCTTATGTAACGCCCTCAACGAGGGCCTTTAAGGGAACTTGAATAAATAAATAATTCAGTTGGGTTCTATATAACATAAAGCAGTCAAAAAAATTATAACGGGTCGTATACCTATCTAAGGGGAAACTGACGCGGTTCAGTATTTTAGAAAAAAAAAACCATGTAAATCATCTTCATTTGGCCTCTAGGATCACGCGATGTCCAGATAATTTTTCAACCTGGTGCATGGAGGCTGCAAAAAATAATTTTCCAAGTACCGCTGTATCCCCTTCTTCCCGGATCATGACGTCGTATTAGTTTTCTAAATCACCGCTCCCGCGACTCTCCAGTGCCCATCAAAGGTATGCACGCGCACTCTTGCTATCTTCAAAAAAGGTCAGAAGAAGACGTCTTTCAATTGCACGTGCTGCCTACAAGAGCGACGCGCGCTTGGCGCCGACACTTCCTAGTATGACGTCACGACTGGTCAGTGGTTTCGGGTGTTTTCTCGTGTTTTATTGCATCCTCGGGAAAAGCAAACGTGATATTCAAATTCACAAAACAAATATACTTCAAAGCTCGCCTCTAAATTGTTTTTTGGGGGGGTTCCAGAAACGTTTAAGATTTTATTTATGTAGTTATTACAATCAACGCTAGAGGTTTATGTGGCGCTAGTGTGCTGTCACATTTCGAAGCAGTCAGCAACCAGTCTAAATTTGACTTCCGGTAACGCATTCCTGTGGGAAAGCGCAAGTGCCTTTTTCTCTGTGCTCTCGATTATAAGAGCAAATATCGCTTAGTGCTGTGACAGAATAAAAATTTGGAACGGTTTACAATAGGATATGCTAATTTATTGGAAAATTTTCCCCGCTAAATTTAACGAAAATATTTCCCCGCTAAATTTAGTGGAAGATTTTTACCGCTAAATTCAGCGACAAAAAAGTCCTAAATTTAGCAGAAAATATTTTTCCGCTAAATTTAGCGGAAGAATTTTCCCCCTAACTTTAGCGAGAAATTTAGCGAACATTTTTTGCTAAATGGGACGCGAGCCGAAGAGGAGGAGGGGAGGGTACGGATGAGGAGGAGGGAAATACCCTCCTCTCCGTACCTTCCCCTCCTCCTTCACAAAAGCTGCGCTCTAATTTGGCGTTACAGGGGATTGTAAACGTCTTTCTTTTTTCTTTAGAATTCGTGGTGTCGAACCCTGCGCTAAAATAGCCCAATACACATGTATAATACGTGTTGGCATTGTAGACTGCTATTATAGGGCACGTATTTGCGCATATAGTCAATGTTATGAACCACACAGGAAGAATCAGCTTGATAAAACACTAGAAGGATGCTAATATATGTCAAATGAAACAATCAAAACAGACGACAAGGACGAAGCATAGAGTTATTGAATGAAGAACACGTACTTGATTAGTTACAAACTGACTGATTTATTTCGATTATTCATGCGCACTTTGTTCGAAAATGTCTTTAATATTAATATGAAAGAAACACTAGGGCCAGCTGGCATGGCCCTGGTGTATCTTTAACCTTATTGTTATTAAAGACATTTTCGAACAAACTGTGCATGAATAATCAAAATAAAGCAGTCATCTGTCATCTGAATGCTATTTCGGCTTGAATAAACCCCACGTACTTTATTTATTTATTTTTGCTTGAATCGATAGGTTATATTTACATGTGAAGCTGTACAACATAGACCTGGGCCTCAAATTTCGCTAACTTAAACATCGCTCAGTGATAAAAAAAAGCATTACCTAAATAAATTACACTTTTTTAATGTGAATAAAGCTGCAAAGTACCCGTTATCAGTAAAGACACTACGCTGATTTATATTATTCCCTGGCAAAAAGAAAAATATCACGTACGTTTTCCAAAAGGAATACACGGGAATTGGAAAAGTAGACTGTTGTCTGCTCAATTTGCAACCGGAAGTCCCGTAGACACTAGCGCCAGCTGAGCCTCTGGCGTTTATTGTAATAAGTCTATGCTTCCCTTAAAGGTAAGCTGAACCAAGCATGTCAGTGTCCATATTCGTAGAGTTATTACAATAAACGCTAGAGGCTCAGCTGGCGCCAGTGTCTATGAGATTTCCGGTTGCAAATTGAAGCAGACAGCATGCAGTCTACTTTTCCAGCCTCCCTGTGTATTCCTATGGGAAAACGCGCGTGAATTCT